TGAACAAGTTTTTTATAGTTTTTAACCTACTATAACCACCTGAAGCTAATGTGAGCTTATTTTCAGTTTGAGTTGCCTGAGCTGTCAAGAACTACAGCTAAAAGTATACCTGTTCTCCGTAACCTTTGCCAGAAGGTAAATAGAGAGACACATAACTTGTTCCTTCAGAATTTTGCTACTAATGTCAGTCAGTTATTGTTATTAATCGTTATTTTCTTATTAACAGGTTGGCATCAGTGTTGCTGCTCGCAAATACGACTTTGGTGCCACCTCGCCTTTTGATGCTTCAGATGTGTTGGATCTTCGGGCTGTTGTTAAGCATTCTGTCCCTGTATGCTCTGAGGCTAAAACTCTCGTTGAGATGGGGAAGGTCCAACTGGCTGAGGTAGCTATGCTATTTCAAATTAAAATGTTTAGTTTCCCCCTATTACATCATGAAGGTCTTTTTTCTTACTAAAATGATTATTCTCTTGTAGGGCATGCTTAGCGAGTCCTACACGTTTTTTTCAGAGGCGTTTGCGATACTACAACAGGTAAAGTGGTCATGCGTCGTATAGACAAACCAAATATTATAGCGCTACAACTGCTGATCATGTTAATCTTATTCCAGGTGACTGGTCCAATGCACAGGGAAGTTGCAAATTGCTGCAGGTAATCCTTCCACTACCTAATTTTCAGCCGACCATATATTTGTTTTCTGTTTTGTTTGCCTTAAGGTTTTGGTCTTTCTATGCTTTCCAGGTATCTGGCCATGGTTTTGTATCATGCAGGAGATATGGCTGGTGCCATAATGCAGCAACACAAGGAACTAATCATAAATGAGCGTTGCCTTGGTTTGGACCATCCTGATACTGCTCACAGGTAACAACTATTCTCCTTTTATTTTATTTCTGTAACTTGTTCCGCGTTAGAAACTGATGAACTTCCAAGCCTGCTAGTGAATATAGTTCATCTCCCTCACGATTCATTATAAATAGGATTCGTGTTAACTGAAAAAGTCAGGACTCGCAGTACGCTCCAATTCTTTTCTCTGGTTTGATGTTACTAACTTGGGCGTATCGGAACTGCAGCTATGGCAATATGGCTCTTTTCTACCATGGGCTGAATCAGACAGAGCTTGCTCTACAAAACATGGGCCGTGCCTTGCTTTTACTTGGCCTTTCATCTGGTCCTGATCATCCAGATGTTGCAGCAACCTTCATAAATGTCGCCATGATGTATCAAGATATGGGGAAAATGGACACAGCTCTACGCTATCTTCAAGACGCTTTGAAGAAAAATGAGAGGCTTCTTGGTCCCGAACACATCCAGACTGCAGTATGCTACCACGCTCTTGCCATTGCGTGCAACAGTATGGGTTTATTCAAGCTCTCACAACAGGTATTACAACTTCTGTAAATCTTTAAATCCTCTCTTTTTGTCTCATCGTCTGAAGCAACTGTTTTTGTTTTGGTCAGCATGAGAAGAAAACCTATGACATACTCGTCAAACAATTGGGAGAAGATGATTCCAGAACAAAAGATTCTCAAAACTGGATGAAGACTTTTGAGATGCGTGAGGTTCAGGTTCGTGCAACGTTAATAACCGAGGACCTCGTTAATCTATTTATTTTTCTCAAATTTCGTTTTTTTTTTAACAGAAGACTGCACAAAAGCAGAAAGGACAGGCAATCGATGCGGCTAACACGAAAAAGGCTATCGATCTCTTGAAGGTATATTACTTGCAGCTTTAGTTTCTGGCGTGTTTTTGGTAAAATCACAAAACTGTTTATAGTTGATGTTATAGTAATGTAATCGTTTTCCTGAATTGGGATGCAACAGTCACGTCCAGACCTGATACAGGCGTTCCAAAACGCAGCAGCCGCAGAGAGGGCTAATGCTCTGAACACGGCTGCCCTCGGAGAAGCTCAACCACGGGGAAGAGGTTTTGATGAAAGAGCGGCTCGTGCTGCAGCTGAAATTAGGAAAAAGGCAGCTGCTAAGGGGCTGCTGGTTCGTCCCCAGAGTGGTGTTCCAGTGCCGTCACAGGTCTCTCAACTAATCAATCCAGGAACTGCGGCTTCTTCAAAGAAAAGTGGCGAAAATGGGGAGGCAAAGGTAGAAGAGAAGAAAGCATCCTCTGAAAACGTGAAAACAACGAACGTGGCGGCTCCTGCAGGATTAGGAGCTGGTTTAACATCATTGGATAAGAAGAAGCAAAAAGCCAAGAAGTAGGGGAAGCTTCTAAATGAAATGGTACTCGATTCTAAGCAGTGGAGTTTGGTTTTGTCAATCACTTGGTGATTCCATTGCAGGAGAAAGAAAACTTTTGTTCTGTTCTCATTATATGTTTCCAACGATTTGGGCAAGTCCCCCCTTCCAGCTATGTCTGGTCTTTCTTTTTTTTTTTCTTTTTTTTTCTTTTTCCCTCACTTGTATGCGGATGTAATTTTCTCCCACAAAAGTTCTAGTTTTATCTAGAGAATAAGCTCATGATTTAAGCTTTGATTTACCAACACTTTGAGTTGGGTTCTTGTTTCATAAGTCTTACTACATTAAGCTCGATCAACCGTGTTCCAAGGGAAACCTAAAGCACCAACGTCAAAGCCGGTTGGCCGAACTCTCAGGTCTAGGCATAGGCATTTCAAGGTTTTTGTTTTTTTTTTGGTTCTAGGTTCTATTTTGATATTTGTGAATACATCGGAAAAATTTGACAACTGATGATAACTGCAACCTATAAGCTATTTTTCTAATTCACTCCACAAGGAAGTTCAATCTCATAGATCTCGGTTTAAGTTTTTTTTTTCTAACTTTAGAGTATTAAATCTCCTTATTTTTAGATATAATAAGTCTTATATCTAAAAATTCAGGAAATTCAGATTTCAAATCCTGGAGAAAGCAATTTATTAATATAGATTACAGAGAGAAAGGTGTACATAGAATCTTTACATGATGCAAGTAAATCTGGTTAGGACTGAATTTTTATAGGAGATGATGCAGTTAGGCGTAGATCATTATAAGGCAGATAATATTATCGGTTGTCGAGTCGTCTATATAATCTCTCATAAATATAATGTTATAATAAATCAACGTTATGAAAAAAACAAGTCGTATATTTGAAACTCAAATCCTTTTAGTGCTTATTGCCTCTTTAGCTTCACAGTATTAAATCCTTCCTCAAATCTCCTCGTTTTTAGGTATAATAAGTCTCTTACCTGAAATTCAAATCCTTCTGGTGCTTATATGTTCTTTTGATGCCCATGGACTTCTTAATCAGAATCTTGAGCATCTTTACATGCTTTACCATCTCTCAAACCATTGTTGTATCTAAGTCTCATCGTTCTCCCACTTATGTCCAACAAAATAGTAATACGACAAGGCCTATCAGAAAACAGTCTTATATGGTGTCATTTCAATACTCAAATGATAATTGTTGTTGTTCGGATGACAAAGTATAAACATACTAATATCATATTAATATCCGAAAGAACTTTGGATTCAGTTTGGATAATTTTGCTTCGGTTGCATAAATTATTTGGATAATTTAGAGTTTCATAGCTTTTTTGGGTAACTATGGGGTTTGGAATAAAATGTAGAGTACTTCGGATAATTTGAATTTTTGGATTCAAAAACACTTTAAATTTTTTCGGGTAATCTATGTATTTAAATAGTATTTTTAGATAATTAGATATTTCAAAACAACAATATATTATATCACTTTAAAATATGAAACTAAAATTTGGGTTCCTATTCGGTTTGATTTTTGTTTTCGATTTCATAGATATAATATTTGTTAAGATATTTTGAAGTTAAGTTCAGTTTCGGTCAAGATTTCTCAATTCCGTATTTCAATTCCAAATATATGTGTCATGCCTAGGGCTGGACAAATAAAATAAGTCCAAAAATCTGAAACCTATAAAAAAGAATCCAAACTGATTTGATCCATACATAAATATTGAATGGATCTTGTTCCATAGTATTTTGGTTTATAAACCCATATTAAACCCAAATGGACATCTAAAAAAAACTGAAAATTCAAAAAAATACCAAAAACATTTGTACCAAACATGATGTCATTCTCTAATATATTTCAAAAATATACTAATATATTATTGTGTACCTAATAATTATTTTACACGAATATTAACTCAAGTACTTTGCCTAATATATTTTTTGGTATTTGGTCAGTATTGATGTTTTTATGTTTTGATGATTGACTTTCAAGTTCAGTTATAAATAAATTTGCTTCAGAAGTTTAAAATGTTACTTTTAAAAGAAGGTTAAATAGTGCTTTTTACATTTCTAGAGTCGATAGTTGGTGATTTACGGTTCATTATGTATGATTATCATTCCTACAAGTATTTGGTTTGTCTTGATATGTCTGATATTGTCATATATAGTTTAAAGGCTTGTCATGTATAGTTGATAGTCTCCCAAAGTTATTTTGAAGGGCAACAATATGATTTAAGGAAGTCACACACATAAACTTATTGAAAAATGGAAATATATTTAATTTAGGTAAATATAAATAATAAATCAATAATTTTGGAGTTGATAGCCCAATTAAGATTTGTAGTCGAAATTACTTCAGATTCAACCAGATCTTAAACATGTAACTAAACCCGAAACGAATCTGACTACACCGAACATAATCCGACCCAAATTGTTATAATATCCCAATAGGGTTGAAATTCATAAACTCAAAAATTCGAAATCCGAATGAACTCGAACTAAAACCCGATCAGGACCTGACTGTCAAGCTCTGGTCAGGCCAAGCCAGGTCTCTTTTTTTTTTTTTTTTGTGTATTGCATACATGTAGAGTAGCTTAGTATCATTTTATCCTTTCTAAGTTGAAAAAAGAAACCATTTCACTCTGATCATTTCTACGCAGCATTGATACAAACGGTGAAAGTATTGAGTATAGCATTGTTGTAACATAAACTTGCTCATTGTACAGATTAAGAGTTATGATCATCCATAGACTTTTGTCTTAATACATACTTTTAAGGTTCGAGTGCTGATTAACAAATATATTTCTGAAAAGGACCTACCCAACATGGTGTAAGAATATAGTTAAAAAGAACAAAGATTAAAGTCTTATGTAATAGTATATTATACTTGACCATGGTACAACTAACTTCATTTTGTATTTTGGCTATAAACATAACTTTATGTATGAGCAACATAAAGCATTTTATTTGTTTACTAGTAAGTAGTAGATTCACAAGAGTTACAAGGATGTTCTCAAACTTCTGACTCAGAAGAAGTCTCCAAGAACTGGATTAGTTTCAGGCGTTCCTCCTCCAAAAGCTCAGGGTCTTCCCTCGTTAACCTCTCCCGAGTTGCACCATCTACGCTCGTTGGATCATACACTACCTGTTTCATTATAACAACAACGTTACAGCATCAACTCATTCATCAAAACTTGTTCAACTTATGATAAGAGAAAAAGAGACATTTTACTTTTGCGTAGTTATTGGTATGACCATCTTTGTTAGGTCCTGTAAACGGCTCCTGCTCATTGTGTGTCCATTCACCATCTATGATATATTTATATTCAAATTGTCCTTCCTGCGTTTCAAAATTATTTTACCAGTAGTCAGAAAATGATAAAACAAATTAGCAGATACTAAGGTTGGTAGTTCATTAAGAAAACTCACAGGCAATTCTCTCTTCAGGCTCCAGAATCCTGTTCCTTTATCAAGTGTCAGAGGTATCCTCTGTATATATGGTGAATAAGTTATATACATTCTCCCAAGTAGTTTGCACAATAATAGGCTTTACTTTTGCATAGAAATGAGAAATGTGCATCCTAGCTTTCAATCATACATGACACACCATAGTTTTAAAACCAATGCATCAAGAAGATGTTTCATTTGACGTATAATAAGCCATATTCACCTGTCCCCATCCGATGTCAAGGCCAGAAATTTCTACTGTGGAGAAACCCTTGTCTTTCAATGTCAGAGTGACAATCTTCTTCTTGAGTCCTGTAAGCTTTTATGTCCCCGGAAACAATAATCAGGAATCAGTTGACTATTCAACATGTGTTGTAACTTATGCTGGAAAAGAATCTTAGAAGCTACAAACATATGTGCAAGCATTCTGAAATTTCATAGACTTGTTGACTCACAATATCAATTGTTGCATTTCTGATAGCATCCAGCTTCGGAAAGCACGTTCGTTTGCTCTGCCATAAATTGTCAGAGATGGTTTGTTAGACTAGCGTTACATGTGCCTCTTTGAATAAGATGTCTATGTACTATACTATTTAATGAACTAACCCAATATTTTGTTTTGAGTGTTATTTTCTAAGTATATATTACTACAAAATGTTCCTCAACTTGTTTATAACACATAGTATAACAAGCAGTACACTACGTCAACATGTTGGGTTAATCAATAAAGATAACAGAAAATCATGTGTAGGGAACAAAAACCAAAAGTACATTCTTACCATAAGTATTTTATGAGCGTCCATAAGTTTATAGCCTTGCACCCAGAACATGTACGTCAACTGTAATTGAAATCAATACCACTTCTCAGTATTAGTCAGCCAAAAAGCTGACACTTGATTATTCCTTCATTAGTCAACAAAAGAAGCACAATAATCATGCCAGGAACTATCTGCAACAGTCTTAAAATGTTTCATTGGAAGACTCACATCACCATGAACACTGTGCTACAGAAAGAAAAGGGAGGTAAAAAAAAGATAAGATCATAGTGAGAGGTTTGCACAACATACCGCAACAGCAGGAGCCCTTCCCATTCCAGCAGTGCAGTGAATATATGTAACTCCTCCATTTCGCTTAACAGCCTTGTACAGTGTACTAAGCACAGCAGGAAGACGCATTCTCAAATCAAATGCATCAAAGTCTCTGTTACACCAAAAGATTTACATCAAAGTCAAAAGACTGAGTGCTTTACAAGTGAATTATTATATGCATGTGCTCATGAACAACTTCATATTATGGGAAATGGGATGACAATCGATCGTTCCAAGTCTATAGCAGTATAGACACATAGTAATATCAGGATGATGACTAACTTCCCCATAATACTCTAGTTTCATTACCAAAGGCTTTTACCTTATTTCGCAGCGAATATGCTCGATATCAGTAAATGTCTTAGCATATGCTTGAATGCTGCTTATATCCACTCCAAAGTATCTGGAAGTAACATAGGTCAAGGCACACTCTGCAGATCAGTCTTTCTCACTCAAACCTCAAAGCAAACTTGTAAAAAAAAATGATAACGAATAAACAGAGAAAGTGGGTTGAATTTGGAAGGATACTCCAAGTCTGGATCTTGTTGCAAGCAAAATATGGTTTTAACCCCAATTTTACGGAGCTTGTCAACATCTTCAGGAGTCTAAGCAAACCAAAGCAGAACAGATAGTAAAAGAGTGTAGTAACAACAAATTTCAATAGTTAACAAAAGGATGGATGAAAATTGAAACCTGTAAGCAAGATCCAACAATTAAATCAGGACGAATGAAGCTGTAGTTCATTCCTAACTCGTGCCTGTAAGTTAATACTGAAAATGAAAGGCACATGAAAGGTGAGTTTGATGCCAATAGCAATCAGAGCTAATCTAGTTGAAAGTTAAAAAAAAAAATAGCAGTAGAAGAAAGTAAACATACCAGCACCCATAGCTTGAGTCATGTCTTGGCTATATTCATCAGATTTTTCTTCCTCCTCCTTGGAAACACCACTCATCTCTGCGCTGGATTTCGAATCTGATACCGCCTACACTCAAAAAGAATATAGTTGCCACTAGTTTCAAACATAGCAATCAGCAACGCATATACACGAATCTGGTCAAGACATTCTTTGACCATTAAACTACCTGTAGAACAAGTCGACATTTAGGATCATTGGCTTTGATAGGTAGCTGCAAAAGGAGTTTCAAGAAAGTTAGACCATACAAAAAAAAATAAGTAATCTTGATTCATTAGAGTGAAGAGATGAAGTGGTTTGGTACCAGCATTTTCAAAGAAGACGAAGAAGGATCTCTGTGATTGCCTCCAGAGCTTAACAAAGGTGAAACTGAAGATCTGAAAATCAGTAACAATCATCAAACACACAATTCACAAAAGAATCAAATGAATAACATGAAAAAGGATAAAACTTGTGAAAGCAAGAAGAAAGAATGAATATATACCTCGTAAGATTCTGAAGGCAATTCATCTTTTAGAGAAATGTATCAGATGAAGAAAAGTGAAGCTTGCTCACTCTATTAGTCCCAAGTTCGTCGATAAAGGATCTGTGTGGTAAGAGTATAATATCAGTTTCAGGTCCACAATCGTTGTGAGTGTGAGTGTTTGTGACTCTGAGGATGTGGACAAGGGTTGTTGGGACCTACCACGCCTAGGGAAAAAGCTAATCACTTTTGTTTTGTTTCGTACGTAAAGGGGACAATAACAACAAAGAAGCTTAGACTTTTGGGAAAATTGTATTTTAGACCAAAAAAACATGAATATTGTCCCATTAGTCTTACTTATTAACTAGGATAAGACCTGCGCCTTGCGCATGGTGAATATATGTAATTAAAATATAAAATTTTAATATTCACAAATTTAAAATTTACATATGATTGTTTTTGTATGTATTTGAAATTTTAGAATTTTGGAATTTTTATATAATTATCTATACGTATGATCAAAAACAACTTTAATTAGAAATGTAAATCAAATCTT